TCGGTGTGGTCGGGGGGGCGGCCGCCCTTACCCTCCGCAGCGGCAGAGCGAAGCCGCCGAGATGGATGACGAACCCGAACGGACCAAGCGCTGGGAAGGAGGCTACGAAAGAACATGGTAGGCTTTCCTCTTCCTTCCTCGCCGTCTTCTTGGTGAACGACGAGAAAAATGCCCCCTCTGCCCACTAACAGTCTGTTTTGCCCAGGGAAATTCTTAAAGAAGATGAATCCGGATCGCTGAAAGCGACCATCGAGGACATTCTTTTCAAGGCAAAGAGGAAAAGGTATTTCGTGTTGCCACGAGCCTGCTAATGATACTGGTTAGATCAATTGTAAGGACTTAAGTCATTCTGAAGCTGGGTCCTCTACACTGAGTAAGCCTGGCGGCATGCCTGCCATATATTTTTGTGCCCTTACCCTTCCAGAGCTCCAGATGCATGCTGCTTGCCTGCTGTTTATTAATCGTGCCAGAAAAAAATAGTAAAATTTATTTTTTACTTCAATCTTAAGACTAAAGGTATACGGGCTGGGTACCCCAGGTGCGTGCTAGCTAAAGAGGGGAGGTCGTGGTCTGATGAAACACCATGCAGAGCACTGCAACTGGAATTTGCGTTGTTTCAGAGAGAATCCTTCACCATTTTTTTAACATACAAATGATGCTTCAAGCTGGGTTTTGATATCATGGCACCAGATTTGTGTTTCAAATTGTTGTAAAATTTGCTAGGTGAAGTCTAAATTTGTTTTATTTCAGATTATGTTAAAATAGCTAAATTAAAGTGCCATTAAACCTGATAGTAAGAAATAGTTTTTGCTTGTTTGTTTGTTTTGAGAGGCATGAAATCTGTTTGTTTGGGGTTTTTTTCCAGTGTAAATAAGTGGCTGTCATTTGCTACTGCTTCATATTTGCCAGAAGTCTAGGACTTTTGTTTTAGGAACCATTCATTCATCTGCATCTTACTTAAATCTTTTTTGGTTTGTTTTTTTTTTTTTTTTTTAGACTCTATGAGCACCATGGACAAGTTCGACTTGGAATGGTATGTTAATGTCTTAATCCTTGTCTTATGTTCAGAATTACTTGAACAATGCCCAGTCTGAGGTACACTTTTGCTAACTTAATGTGCTTGAGTGCGAAGTTTGCATTTTACACTAAACTTTTTTTTAAAAAAAAAAACCAAAAACCAAAAAACATTCTTTGTTCATTGGCAGAGTAGCATGTGATGTATGAGTATTCAGAGGTGAAGGTTTGTCGTGTTTGCTGTATCAGGGTGTGTTTTACAACAGCAGTCTGCTCACACACACTTGCACTGTCGATTTTCTTCATGTGAAAAATAGGCATAATTTAAATAAGTTGAAAATGACATTACTTTACACAATGCTGAGGTCTTCAGATGAGGAAGTGAAGGTGCAAGCTATGCATATTTTGTAGCTTATTATGAGAGGGAAAAAACAGTGAGCATTTGTCAACATAGTCTTTTTTTTTTTTTCAATTTTGAAGGAAAAGTGGAAAACTTTTGAAGGAAAAGTGCTGTTGATTGCATAGCTCAATGTACCGAATTTTCCCTTTTTGAGGCAGGAACTAGTTGCTTTTTCAAGTAAATGGAATAATGAACAATTTATTCAAATATCTGTTCTGTGAGTGATTATCACTTATGGCGATAATGCAGATGCGTCACCTTTATGTGGTTGTTGATGGATCAAGAACTATGGAGGACCAAGATTTAAAACCGAACAGACTTACTTGCACTTTGAAGGTATTTCTGTACTCCATGTAATTTTCTCTTATTAATCCACAGTTTTTCTGTTAAAGAATGGCACTTTCCTGGGACTTGCTTGCATATTACTTGCATAGCCTCATGTCTTCTCTCATCCTTTGTTTCTGTTGCTAGTCTGTAATTTTCCTGGTTTTTGAATAGTAAATGTGTGTGACATTAGTTTGCCTTGCATGAGTACTTCTATACAGTAAAAACACTTTGTAAGGATATATTGTGGAAAAACACATTATAAAAAGTATGTGGAAATTAAGCTGAAGTGTTGCCTGTAATAAGGGCTGGAAGAACAACCTGATAACAGTAAGCATTGAAATGCTGTGTTTTGGTTATTTGTTTTTTTAAATGCTTTAGTGCTTTTTGGAGTACCTTAAACCTCCATTTGAACCAACAGTAATGTAGAACTTTTAATAGCTGAAGTGGTTAAAATAAGATGTAGCTAGTTTTTTGAAATGTACGTTGCATTGGTAACATGGGAGGAAGGAGAGGGCTGGAAGGGCTAGGGTGAAAGGAGGATGGAAGGGAAGGGCTCATTCCCCTTTTTCCCCAACTTTTTTTTTTTTTTTACGATTCTGGATATTGTGCAAATATCACCTACTGAATGCATGTGGAATAAAACTGTATTTAGTTTTTAACAGTCTTAACTTTTCTTTATAGTTATTGGAATATTTTGTTGAAGAGTACTTTGACCAAAATCCTATTAGTCAGGTATGTACACCCATTCAAGTAACAAGTTACTGAAAACTATTTTAAAAGTTAGTTTTAGTTTTAATACAAGCTAGTAATTTTTTTCAGTTGATGTGTTCCTTCCCATCCCTTCCTCATTAGTCTGGTGAAATTCTTGTTTCTCATTAAATTAATGAAAATAAAAACCCCTCTATTCACTGTTCCTAAACGTAAATTCTGACACAGAAGACTTAATTAATTTTTTTTCAGGTGTTTAGAATTTTAGAAAATTTATTTTTGTACCTTGTGGCAAAAGTACAGGAATGTATCTTAACTGATGCATAGTGTTGTGCTGATGTTGTTACATGAAAACTTGGATAGTTAAGCAATTCTGATCCATGAAGAAGCATACAGCAAAATATAGCAGAGGTATAAATCAACTTATTTTTAAACTTGCTAAGAAAAGTTTTACCCTTTTTTCTTTTTTTTTTTTCTTTTTTCTTTTCCTTTCTCCAGATTGGCTTAATTGTAACCAAGAATAAAAGAGCTGAAAAAATTACAGAACTTTCAGGTACGGAGGTGGTATATTTTTAAAAAAAAAAAAATATATATATTTGTTTTAATCTCTTGCATTGATGTAATCTACCCAGATGATACTGCTGAAAGTTAAGTTGTGTTAGCATAATATTTTTAATTTAGAAGAGAAGTTATTGCAACTTACCTGAAACCAGAGTCTTTATTTTGATCTGTTTTGATCTGGAATTGTCATTACATGCTTGTTCATGATCAAGTTTTACCCAGATTTTGTTTCCCCTATAGTTAATTTCTCACTCTGTTAATTTTGTATTTTATGACATCTCTGTGTTCTGTGAAATCTGACCAGATGTTAAGAAGCAAGATTTCTTTTGTTCCTGCCTTCTGTCACTAGCAATCCATGTGACTTCAGAGATGAAGTCTTAATTTTTTATCTTTATTCACCTATAAAACCTCAGAAACTTTATTGAAGAATTTGAGGATCAATCAATCGTTGAACAGTACTGTGAGGAGAACAGAGAAAAAGAAACTGTTTCTACTGAAACAGTTTGTGAGACACCTTACACTCATGTTGAGTGCTTCATGATATACAACAATGTTTTTAATCTTTTTGAGTTCTTCAAGTTTCTAACAAGTTTGAGTGCTTGTAAATATCTTTCTGTTAATACCTTGTTTTATCGTTTTCTACATTCTGATGAGGAGGTCAATTTCTAAGGAGAAATACAGAGTTATAAGTCATAGTTTGAAAACTGTTGTTCTACAAATACACTTCATTAAGTATATAGTTTAAATATTTAAATTCTTTTAACTTGTGATTTCAGATTAATTTTTTTTCACTTGTAGGTAACTCAAAAAAGCACATAACTGCTCTGAAGAAAGCAGTGGATATGAACTGCAGTGGAGAGCCATCTCTGTATAATTCCCTAAATTTGGCCATGCAGACTTTAAAGTTAGTATATACCTGGAGTTTTTTTATTTTCTTAGTTTTCCATAACCAGCATAAATCTGATTGTGAATTTCTGGAGGGGCAGAGACAGTATTTTTCACAAGTAGCATCTTGCATTGTGCTGACCTGTGTCTTTAAAACTAAGCTTTATCTCCTCTTACAATACAAACTGTTAAGAAGTTAAATATGGTAGTAGTGCAGAAGTTAAAAAATTAACACAAGATGCTTCTCTTTAGATGTGTACTTCTTATAAAAAGCAACTATTTTAAAATTAAGTAGATGATTTTATGTTGTATATGAATATGGCGATGAAAGATCTTGCAATTATTTTTTACTAGAAGACTAAAGTCAGAGAGAAGACAGAGTTAGGGGTTAAAAAGGGAACAGGAGAAGAAACAGCATTGAATCACAATAACCTGGTAGGAGTTTATCTATCTACTTTAGAAGGGTAGATTTTCAAGTGGAATAGATTTCAAAAAACTTTTTTTGTTATGTGAGGTATTGAGATGGGATAAACATTTGTGGAAGACTGTTTTAACAAGTAATTTTATCTAGAAACATTGACAGAACAAAGTCAGTGGTCAATGTAATAAATTATTTGCATGACTAGTTGAAAGAGAGTTATTCCATTAAGAACTAAAAGATGGTGGTTAAAAGTAGTAGATTTACACCCATAAACTTATCAGAGATTTTTATTTTAAGAAGTCAGGAAGACGTATTGCAGTGTTCCTAGTTTGAAGGTGAATTTTACCTGTGAGAGTAGTTAAGGTACAGGAATAACTTAAGCATTAGAGCAAACAATCAGATAACAACTACACTGTTAAATACTGTATTTTAAAGACTGGAAAGGTTTGGCTTTTGGAAGATTAAATTCTGGTGCTGAGAGAAGGATCTTATCACAGTATTCTGTAATTTGTAGGGAACTTCATATCATGTAATCTTCTGACTTTACTATGTTAAAGTCCTTGTAAACTTTAGCATACAGGTAGCTGAGTTTACAGAAGTAAATTAACTATATACTTTCTTTAGGCACATGCCAGGACATACAAGCAGAGAGGTTTTGGTAGTCTTCAGCAGTCTGACGACATGTGATCCAGCCAACATCTATGATCTGATTAAGGTACAGAAGTTAAGTTTGACTGCTACATTGAACATCCAAGCTATTAGGCTGGAAACAGTTGCAATGTCATTGACAATTAATTTTAATTTAAAACTTTGAACTTTTTTACTGTTTTCTGTTCTGCATATTAATTTGAGTGTGCTTTCTTTTTCCATTTGAAGTGTTTAAAAGCCGTTAAGATCAGAGTATCTGTCATTGGCCTAAGTGCTGAAGTTCGAGTTTGTACAGTACTTGCCCGAGAAACTGGTGGTATGTATCTGAAGTTCTGTAGTTACACTACTAACACAAGTTCAAAGTCAAAATTAAGTAACTAATTTGTCATATATTCATTAATGCATTTTGATATTTAAGGATGAATATTCTGTTGTGCTGGCAGGAGATTTAAAGGTTTCCCAAATATACAGAATACACAGAATTTTGTGAAATTATTATCAACTGGTAGCTGCATCTCTAGAGAGAAGAATTACCTCTTTTTAAACCTCATGTTCCACACACAAATCTGTATGATGTGAAATTGAATTAATATAACATGTTAATTTCAGTTACTATAGTGGTAACTCTTGCAATATCATTACTGCAGTGTAATGTTGGAGAAAAAGCTATGGGCCTCTGTATATAATTAAACTTTCTGGTGTTACTAATTTTAAAACTTGTCATTTTCAGTAGCTTTAACTACCTTTTTTTTTTTTTTTTAGGAACAGGGTTGGCTAATTTTTTAATTTTTTTTTTTTTACCTAAGTAGTTTTCTGTCATTTGGAGAATATGTTTGTATATCTTACCTGCTCATAATCTGCGAGTAAGGCATTTCTTTCTTCATGACAGGAACATACCATGTTATTTTAGATGAAAGTCATTATAAGGAGCTGCTGCTGCATCATGTTAGTCCTCCACCTGCCAGTTCGAGTTCTGAGTGCTCACTTATTCGAATGGGTAGGATATAGTTTTGTTAAAGTCCTAGAACAAGATTTGTGGATCTTGTGTCTTTTTCTTTGTTTGCTCTTCTAGGCTAAAGCCACACAAATGGTTAGAAGCATAATAAAGACATTGTACAATTGTTTTTTTGTTGTAACTTTTATTTTGCTAAATAAATATCAATTTTCTTGATGTTGTTTCTGCAAAGTAGTCAGCTTTTAAATAAAGTTTAGAATTAAATAAGACACATTACTGACATGCATCTAGAAACAATGAGGTGAAATTATATTGCTTGTACGGTAATTGGTTTAAATATGATGCTTAAAAATGAGGAATGAAAAACTATATTTTGTTTCTCCCTCTTTTTTTGTCCCTGCAGAAGGCACCTATTATAAGTTTAATTGACTGTATCAGCCATCTGTTTGACCATGTAGTGCATGTTTGTTAGCAGCACTTTTGTGGTGTTCTTTCAACAAATGGTTTGGGTACCTTTTCTCCTGGTGTGTTTCTCAATAAATTTAAGCCTGGAGTTAAACCAGAATAGGAACTCTAATGCCATGAATTAAGGCATAGATTTCTCCCTTTCATCCACCCCTTTTCACAGATAAGAATGTATGTATTTTCATGTGTAGATTTACATACTGAAGAGATTTACTTGTTATAGGTGCAGCTGGAGCAGCAGTCAGGAAAATTAACTACCCACTTGACATGAGCTGTAAAAAATAAGCGGTAGAAAGGATGGTATCTGTTACAGCATCCATAAAGTGCTATAGTGTCATCTATCATATACTGCTCTTGGAAGGTGAATATATGCTTGGTGTCTGCATATAAAAATATTTTCCCCTTACTTACAAACTGCTGTTAAAGTAAACATTCATGTGGTGCTGTTTCTACTTTCCTGCCATTGCACATCGTTTTCTTTTTAGCTGTTCTTCAAAAAGGGTTCCAGTGAGCTTCAGTTAATATGAAGTCTATGAAAAAGACTTTTTCAGTTGGGGGAAATTACAGTGAGGGGTTTATTGGTGGATGTAGGTGTAGACCTCCATATGGAAAGGTATAGAAAGAATTTGATACCTAGTAAGTGTATTACTTCTTCTGTAATAACAAACAAAAAAAGAGATAGACCTTAATGTTTAGAATCATCTTTGAGCTTCTCCATTGAATTAAGAAACTGAAAGATTACTTGTATGTTTAAAATTGGTAATATCGGATGTTTTTCTCTTCAGGTTTTCCTCAGCATACTATTGCTTCTCTATCTGATCAAGATGCAAAGCCATCCTTTAGCATGGCGTAAGTAGAGCTGATTAGAATTCAATGAGCTGATTAGAATTCAGTTATAATTAGTCATATTTAGAAAAGCTGCTTTTCAGTGAAAATGTTGCAAAATAATGTGAAAAAAAAAGTAGTGTCTTGTGACTTCTCAGAAGAATTTTTATTGTCATTTGCACATCCATTATTTGGCCATAGTTGTCTGTTAAATATGCTGTTTAAGATTTACATTTAATATTTTTTTAAGGTAGTAAATGACTTCTAGTTGTGTTGTGCATTGATTAGAACACAAGGGTGCTACAAGGTATTAAAAGTAATCACTACCATTTTTACTTGCTTTTCTTGATTCAAGTATTTTTATCATTCTAAAGATAATGATGAAAATTGAGGGTATTATTTGGAATAAAGTATTTTTTATCTGTTTACTGTGACTTTAAAGGGAAGTTTAAAATAGAGGCCTCATTTGATTAATTTACCAGTGCTCTTCTCAATGAAAGAATCATAGTTTTCAGGGATTATAGAGGAGTAAGGAAACAGTGTCTGCTGTTTGAAAGAATAAGTGCTAATATGCATCTTAAAGTCAATAAAGAATATTTGTGTAAGTAGAAGTACTAATGCTGTTATCTTTCATAACTTAATTTTTTAAATTTATATTGGCTCCTGTATGTGAGAAAATTTGTTCTTCCTTCTGTTTTTGTGGGAAAATGTGGTTACTGATATCTCACCCTTTCAGTTATTTTCTAGCACTTCCATCCACATTGCATAGAAGCTACTTGTTAAACTGTTTGTTGTGAGAATTATGGAGTGTTTGTAGTTATGTAGTGTTATGGTGTTACCTCTTTGGTATTAAATTGTCTCTCTCTGCTCTAGGCAATTGGAAAACAACAGCGAGCCAGGTCTTACGCTGGGTGGATATTTCTGTCCTCAGTGCAGAGCTAAATACTGTGAACTTCCTGTGGAATGCAAAATCTGTGGTGAGTAGCAAGAAAAGGTGAATGGATTAATTATGAGTTAGTGGTAAGAGAGTTAAGGGGTAGAAAAATTAAACTATACTTAGGAATTAAAAGCCAGCTCTGCTTTAAAAAGCCTACATTCCTGTGTCCTGGGATGTCAGCTTGTACAAGGGACTTTTAGGACTATATCTGTAACAGTAAAGCTGTATCATATTCTCTAGTATAAAGTTATAAACTAAAAGCCCTAAAGCAAAGCAGGGAAGAAGGGTAATTCACAAATGAATGGTAATTATTTCCTCAAGAATCCTGATTTAACAGGCACACTGGTATTTCAGACTCCTCAGTGCAAGGCCGTGAAGATAAGGAGTGCTGTGGAGCAAAAGGACAGAATTATCCCCTCACCTCTGGCACTGTGTGGATGAAAGGTTTCAAAGTTGAACCCGAGGGCAGGCTGCACAGTAACAAATGAAAGGCTATACAGTTGTAAATGGAAGCCTTTTGGTCTTGCAAGTGTTAATGGACTGTGCAACCAATGATGCCTGTCCGGAGCCCCTATTAATGAGGGCAGGAGGGAGGATTAGCATTTTTTATAGTATTAATGTTGTGTGAGCAACAGCAGTCTTCCTATTAGCTTCTACAGGCGTATGACTAAAGTATTATCAAGATGCATGTATTTGTCAAGAGGATTAAATAATTATGGTATGGGGTCACCTTGTTGTAGTTTCATGTCAAGGTTTTCATATCAGCATGAGTTTTGTTTCAGCAAGGTAATAGTGTAACTGGAGAAATCCTGTGTATCAGCAACAGATTCTCCACAGCACTAGCAGTCAGGAGAGCAACAGCTTGGAAGTTTACACTGCATGTGAGTGAGTGATGAAGATGTTTCAGCCAGCCCATGTCCCAGCTAACACTAGCCTGTTGTCACGGTTTAACCTCAGCTGGCAGCTGAACCCCACACAGCCACTCACTCCATCCCTTGTGGTGGGATCGGGGAGAGAATGGGGAGGGTAAAAGTGAGAAAACTTATGAGTTGAGATAAAGACAGTTTAATAGGTAAAGGAATAGCCATGCACATAAACCAAGCAAAGTAAGGAAATCATTCACTACTTCCCATCAGCAGCCATCTCCAGGAAAGCAGCGCTTCATCATTGTAATGGTTACTTGAGAAAACAGATGCCCTAACTCTGAACGTCCTCCCCCTTCCACGTTCTTCCCCCAGCTTTTATTGCAGAGCACATCATATGGTCTGGAATATCCCTTTGGTCAGTTGGGGTCAGCTGCCTCAGCAGTGTCCCCTACCAACTCCTTGTGCACCCCCAGCCTTCTTGTTGGTGGAATGGTGTGAGAAGCAGAAAAGGCCTTGATGCTGTGTAAGCACTGCTCAACAATAACTAAAACATTCCTGTGTTATCAACACTGTTTTCAGCACAAATCCAAAACACAGCCCCATACCAGCTACTGTGAAGAAAATTAACTCTGTCCCAGCCAAAACAAGCAGACCCGTGTTAGCTGAAACAGGGCTGTGGCATGGCTTCAGCATTATAGCAGGCTGCAGTAGAGCTTTGTAGTGCGGCACCATTTTAACTGGGGATGTGAAATGGCAGAACCATCGTTGCCAAAGAGAAGTTGTGCATTTAGATTCAATCAGAATCAATGGTTGCATTTTGTTTATGGCATGGAGATGAAAAACTTGATAACTTTACAACTGTGCATTGTAAGTGTACTCCTAAACACCGAATTCAGACTTTTAATTGGTAAAACGAGGAATTTGCTTGTTCTTTATATTTGGATTTAATTCTGGAAAGGATTACAGGTTTGGATTATGGGAGCCAACGAAAAAGTGATTTTATGTTTTTTAATTCTTAAAAGCTCTGAACCACTGAGTAATTAAAAAAATCTTTTCTCCTTTTTGCTTTGTTTAATACTGAAAGTTTTTCAGTAAGTCCTCTCATAATGATTTTGACGTCTCTTTATTTGCAGGTCTTACCTTAGTGTCTGCACCTCACCTGGCTCGGTCCTACCATCACTTGTTTCCTTTGGATGCCTTTCAGGAAGTTCCCGTGGAAGAATATCAGGGGGAACGGTATGCAGATCATATCAGTGATAATGAGTGTACTTGTGGACACTGTAATTTTTTTTGTTGTGAAAGTAAGAATAGCTGGCAGCAGCTTCTTTGCTGCTGGAGACGCTGTTGAATATTTGGAGGCAATAAGAAATATTTGTAGTTCCCATTAACAGGTTTCCCATGTGTTCACCTGAATAGCTGAAATAATTGCCATAAATTGTTACTATGCATGAGATCTTTTTTTAAACACTATTTTACACAATCCTGACATTTTTTTTCAGTTAAAATGCACAATTTTGCTTTTAGGTATTGTCAAGGCTGCCAGGGAGAAATGAAAGATCAAAATGTAAGTATGTTGAGCTGCATTGGAATTTGCAATGAGGAGTGTCAGAAGTGGAGGTGATCCTTTAGTGTAGTCTCTGGAAGACCAGAAAAATATTTGTGGAAGTTTATCTTGGGGTTAACTAGAGTTCTCTGTCATAGAGTCATGCCTGTTAGACTACAAACGAGCTTGGGTAGGGATTTCCTGGAAAGTTGCATAAATAACGTTTCACTCCTAGCCATTTGAAAGCATCTACAGTGACTTGAGCTCAGCCCTTTGGACATACTTTCTGTTAGAAACTTCAATTCAGTTGGCTTTCTGTGATATGAGCAATATATTTAGTCTGTTTACACTGTCTTGATGACACAACTGTTGCCCTAATGTAGTGGTGTGACAGTGATAATTGTTTTCCTAAGTAGTCTGACATGTTTTTCTATCTTTTCCGCACAGGTTTACATTTGTAAAGTGTGTCAGAATGCATTTTGCGTGGAATGCGATTTGTTTGTTCACGATTCTCTTCACTGCTGTCCTGGCTGTATTCACGAGCAGCCTGCTCCCATATCTGTATGATTCTCTGTAGAAATTGTTGCATCTACACTGTTCCTGCGTAAGTCTATTATGTTTATTCAGCCATAGCTTTCACTGAGGCACCTCAAAACAAGAAGGACCTAGATGATGACAGAAGGATGAACACTGGCTTGGGAGCAAACTTTAACTTTTACCTAATCTATTAATGATTTTGTTACTGTTAATATATTCCTGAATTATCTATATCTGATTTATTTTCTTTTTTCTTGTCTGAAAAGCTCTGGCTTTTTCTGGATGTTATTGTGAGTAACATGTATATTTGTAAATGTGAAAATGATAAAACTGGTTTGTATGATAATATGGTTGTTTCATTATTTGTTGAAAAAAAAGCCCTGAAAATATATTTTGTATTTCCATGTTGTAAGCTCTTAGTTTTGGTGGATGATGGAATTCTGTAGATAAAACTATTTTTTGTAAGAATTTAACAAAGGTCTTTCCTAGCAATTAGTTGGAGGACATTTCAAAGCACTAATTTCAAGTATTGTGGCTATTCACCTTGGCCTTCAGTAAGGCAACTCCAACACAGCTGTTACAAGTGTGCTGAAAACATGGTTTGAGTTTTAGTGGTACACCTGAAACTAAATTGAATTCTATTACTGCTGCATCTGTAGCGTGATTTAAGTTTCACTTTCTTGTAAGAGTCTAAGGTTACTGAAAGGTAATAAATTTGCAAAGGTGTAACAGCTGAGTTTATAGAAACTACTGTTTGATGGACCCAGTATTGAAGACAGTGACGCTATTTTGATCCCAACACTAGACCGAATTAGCAGAACTGCACATCGTCGTCTCGCCTTGGCTAAAGCCCCAAAGCAACAGACAATAAGGTGGGGGGAGAAGGGGAAGCATGTGTCCTTATCTGAACATTGAAGAATGAAAATTGAGACAAATGCAAGACACTCTTGCCACTTTATAGTGTCTGCACAAAGTGTGATTGCAGTTGGAACTTGTGAGAATGTAACATGCTGCACCTCAGTAGGAGGAGGTTGTGATGTGCAGCATCTAAAGCAGTACATCACATCTGGTTTTCTGAAGTCATCTTGTGACGTTTGTAATACATCCAGGGTAACTCAGTTGCTGATGCTGATGTATCTGACTTAATTTTTTTAAGTTGTGAGCTTTGTTGTCAGATCAGGAACAGCAATAATCTAACATAGCCACTGAATCTTAAAAGTGCAAACAAACAAAAATAAACCCCTATATTAAGTTAGTTCCCTGTTTTTCACGCTCACCACATATAAAAAATACATGCTGCTTTTCAGTTTTCAGAGGCAGTTTTGATTTGAAGATCTTTAAATACACAAATTCTCTATTGTTAACATAGCTCCTTCAGTACTTTTTCTACTGTGTATGCCTGCAGGCTCGCTAGAAGGCAGAAATTCTACTGTGTTGGCACGAAAATGGCTGTTGTGGTATCTGTGTTTCATTTTGTGCCGAATCAAACAATCCCTATAAACCCTTTGAGCTGTCAGGTGATTGCAGTGGCTGTTACTACAAGGGTGTCCTGAAAACTATCAGAAAAAGGACATATTCAAAGGTTTGGGTGTGGTCTAGTAGGCCATTCCAAGCCAAAGCTATGTCCTAAGCAGATGGCTCTTGGATATTCTGATATTAGTGACAGTGTATTGATAGGACAGTTTTCTGGTGATATTTTCCATCTTCACAAACAGGATTTGCTAATGGAAAAAATTGTTTTTGCCAGAATAGGCTGGGCGTGGTTGGCAGGTGGTGAGCCAACTGTGAATGACTCATTTGCGTATTTTATTACTATTATTAGTATAATTATTATTTTAACACCATTATTATTTTAAGTTTTGTTTTATTTCAATTATTAAATTGTTCTCAAAATATGAGTCTCCTTACTCTTCCCCTGCAATTCTCTCCCCTGTCCCCTGGGGTAGGGAGGGAGTGAGTGAATGGCTGTTTGGCTGCTAGCCAGGTGAAACCACCACAAGGATTAATTTGTGTGGTAAATATTGTACATCTCTTAAGATCCCTCAATTATTTGAGAAAACAAAGCAAAGCTCTTTGGACGTGTTGAGAGCCGAATTTGACTATATGGAGCTGAACTGTAGAAACGGTTGCTGCGTTCTGAACCATCATAGCAAAATATTTCCTACAGTTGTCTTACCACAGCACTAAAAACAAAAAGTTACAACTTCTACAGGATAAGCTATATTTGAGAAGACTAGTGTAAATACCAAACTTCTAATAAAGCCACCTTCCTGGAGAGAAGTATGACAGTATGAGTTTGGCAATAAATTTTATTGCCAAATTAATTTCATTTTGTGATGATGAAAGCCCGGTTCCTTTTCATGAATGATTATGCAATTACTGCTAGTCAGTACTTATATTGAAAACAGTTGAAACTTAAAAATACTGCAATAAAACTGTTGCTTGCTTTGATATTTTTTTCCCTGTTTTTCACTTCTACTTCCTCTCTTCCATTTCTCATTGTATGTTTTGCCACCTGTTTTTTTCCTAATTTAAGGAGACATTCAAAATGTGCTAGCAATGTTTGGTCATAGTATTGACATGGAAGGATTGAGGTGACAGCGGCGTCTTGGTTTACTGAGGCCATTCTAGGTTTTTAAGCTACGGGATGATGCTGTTAGGATCTGCTGCTCACGTGGGTTGTCTTGCTTAAATCTCATCTGTTTATGTCTTTCCTTCTATTTTGGTTGTAAAGGCTTCAGTGTGCTTGCTATTGTCATTAAGGGCAGTGGTCAATCAGAGTTATTGGAAATCTCAATTTGGCTAGTCAGATTTAATAATACATCTGTTTATAGCATTGCTATAATTACATTATCTTCTTAGTAAGGAGAAATCAAATGTTTATAACCTATAGAAACCGTGTTACCGAGGCAACAGAGGTGATGGTCTTATTTAAAAGATGTGGGTAATATAATGTGGTAGTTTGCCTTATTTTTTCAGGCAGTGTTTGCCAAAGAGGCCCCTACAGTGGAGATGAATGACAATGGAATACATGAGCTGAATCCTTCTGTACTGCAAGCTTGTTTCCTGCATGCAGCCTTTGATTTTCACAAGTTTGGCAAAGACATGGAGGCAGAATTCCAAGAAGTCTGGGAACAGCTGCAGAAGAGTTATAACTCTACCATGAGAAATTAACACAATAGGCTAAAGTCCTTGTCCTGTGCATCTCACTCATCATGGTCTTTGACAGAATTGGCAGCTGCTGGGTTTTATCATGTACTTGTTAAATCCAGTGTGCAATGTGTTTGCTGTGGGTTTAGTTTTATTTACCAGGAAGGTTAGATGTACCCTGTATGAACAGCGCAAGAAATTTTGTCCCACGTGTGAATTTGTCCTGGGCAAAGAGGTGGGTAATATTTCAAAGTATAATGTAGGTATTCAGAAGCTGGAGAAGAAACCAGCAGAGCACCCTTAAGGTACAGTACAGAGGATGCAAGGCTGCAGTCCTTTGACAAGTGGCCATTCTGTACCAGAGGAGCAATGCCTGATTTGCTTGCCAGGATTTTTCTCTATAGGTAATTGGAAACAATGCTTGGAGGGATTTCTGTTTTGATTTATATCACCATGCAAGTCTACTTACAATGCTTTAATGGGTATAACTTTTTTTTCATGCCGCCCATCATTTTCCTATATATTGTATCCCTCATAAATGCTTTCTTTCCTAGTCCGAAGAACATAGGCAACTTAACCGTTCATGTAGAAAGTGTTCCACATTTTTCATCGTCCTTGCTGCTGTTCCTTGCACCTTTTCCTTTTCTAATACAGTATTTTTTTGAGGTAAGTGGCCTCAACCATGTGCACTGTTTAAGCTGTGGATTAATTGTCTGTTTGTACGGTGGCATAATTACTTTTTCTGCTTGTTTGTCTGTAACAGATGCCAGGCTTACAGATTTGATATATCTTCTTCTTCCCCAAAGGTGCAGACTGCTCTTTGAAGATTGGCATTATGTTTTCCCCACTCAGCCATAATCTATTGCATAATTGCTTTGATTTTGGATCCATCTTCTGCTGTATGGCCCTTCTGGTTTAGACAATGGGAATCTCCCTGAATTCTTCTGCAGTGAATATTAGTGCAAATATTGCAGAGAATGTAACTTTAAGTCCTCTGTAATTGCATTGTCCCCTTTGAATGGTTCTTTTACAGCCTGGTTAGCAGTTCGCTCTACCAGCTCTTCACTGGCTTTTTTTTGTTCCTGCTGTCTGGTCACATGGCTAGAGTGTGAGCAAGTAAAACACACAACTATGCCATTATCTCTCAGATCTGTAACTCTCTACATGCAGGCAAGAAAGATACAGTGAAGTATTTTGGTTGTGGTTGATGTCTGGGAAATTGGGAAGATGGTTATGATCCTTGGAGAGAAAATGCTAAATGGTTTCCTGAGAAAGTTGACTGATTGTCCTAGAAATACCTGTATGTACAAAAAGGTTTATTTGTTTTGATACTTCTTTTTCCTCAGCAATGATGCTGGAAAGCAAACAAACAAACAAAAAAACCCCAAACCCACATTTTTATCTTGAAGGTTGTTAACATTCAGACAATTTATTTCAGCAGGTCTTTGTTTCTGAGAACTGAATGGTGTAAATCTGCTACCCTAACCTTACAATTATTCTATACGTATTTTTTTACATACTTTCCAGAGATCTTCTGTGGGCTTTTCATCGAGCAAAAGCCAGCTGATTATTCTCTCAGATAGTCGCTATGTTACATGAATAATGCTGAAAGCATCAAAAAGTTTGCCTTTGATTCATTGTCTTCCTGTTGTGAAAAATCATGAGTGTGCACCTCTTAACAACTGAAACACTGCTTCCAGAATTTTCATTTGAATTAATGCTTAGGAATAATGGTTTGGGGTTTTTTATAGGTGTGAATTCCTTCAAAGTAAGAAATCAAGTTAGCAAATTAAAAAGTACATTGAAATGAGGAAATTTAAAAGTACATTGAAACCTATAGTGGATTTGTTGCAGTGGTAGTAATCTTACAATTTATTTCA